ACAAAGTAAGCCCTTTTATTAATGTAATATAAACGAAGTAATGACAGATGTCATTTCATAAACAATACAGACGCATTTCTGGCATACTTGATATTATTTTTACAGTTAACGCGTTAACTCTTTATTTCTGGGATGCCTTCAATTATTAAAGATATGGATGCGATAGACATTTTGGATTAGGTACATCTGAAAGCGCACTGTATTAGAAAATCTAATCGCGCTACATAGAATGCGCATTTCTGCCGCTCGCGCTCTGTTATACAGGGTGTTCAAATTTCGGTGTAATTGGGAAGGGGGGGTTTCTCAGCTATTACTAAAGATAGAGGCTTGCGGTTTTGACGAAATATTAAAAAGAAGTTTGGTGCCAAGTTCAGTGGCCTACTTAATTTTAAGGGTACCATTTTTAGGATTTAGCCCAAACTTATGATTTATTCCCCTTTTAATTGATATATATATTACTGGGTGGAAATGTTTTTCTAAGATGTCGAAAATAATACTTTTTTTAAATTTAGACGGACCACACTGTATTTTTTTTTTGCACAATAATATTCTATTAAATTTGCTTTTTTCTTTTAAAACGATATATTTATCTTTATTATTAATCTTTAAAATCATCAAAAACTGTGACCCATAAATGAATAAAACATCACCTTTTATACTTTTTGAATACCCTGTAAGTGCGCAGTTAATTTTTTTTAAATCCTACAATGATTTTTTCATGAAGCACAAATATTGTATAAACATTAAATTTTTCTGAATAAAATAAAAAAGTTCATACATTTTTGCGAAATTTTTGGGACACTATGTATATATTTTCCTTTAAAACAAAAAATATATTATATTTAAATAATTTTTATCTTTAATTTTCTTGTTTGAAGTGAAAAAGTCTGACAAAAGATAAAACTAACATTTCGATCAACAATCAGTGTCAAATACCCCACTGTGCGGCGGCTCAGGAAATAACAAACTTGGGGGAGGCGTGTCATAAAACAAAAATGCCCTTTGGTGTCCTGCCATAGTGTCTCACGTAAATCCTCTGGGATTAAGGATCCTGTTACGAGTGCCGGATACTCTACCACCTTCCACGGAGGTAAAGCGATGTCCTGTAAAATGCGGACCTTGGGATGGGAGGCTTATGCTCAGGGAAGGTTAGATCAATGATCTCGTCTTGACATGGCAAGGTTGGCCTTGGATGCCTTAACTGCTGGACAATGCTCTTAACTTTTAAAAGACGCTGAGCCTCGGAATAGAGTCGTCGCTTTCGGTCTTCTAGGGGTATTAATTTCGGTATCCCGGCGGTATCGAGTTTTCGACTCATAGCTGAAAAGAGAAACAAACTATTCGTTTTCTACCACTGATTTTAGATCCTTGATTTGCACCTGATTGAGTCTTTTCCCGGTGGCATGTTTTAGGTTGGAGACTACGGGGGATACGACTTTTATGACTGTATACGGTCCGGAATACTTCGGGGCCAATTTGGCAGCTACATGTGTAACCTTCCAAATCGGTTAAAACTACTAAATTAATGAAAAATTAAAAGATAAGCAAATTACACATACCCGGTCACATGTAATTCTTTTTCAGGATACTCGCGGCTTAGCTTCAGTGGAGACGGGTGTCGTCCACAAAAAATAATATGAATGTTAATGTAGGCGCCAGATAAATTTACCCGAGTATCTAAGAGGTTCTTATCGACCATAACTTACCAAAAGGTCAATAACTTAATATACAGCAACTCGAGTACGTAAATGAAACTATTATACTTAATACCAGCTATTTATTTAAGATCAATTAAATAAGTTAATAAAAATGAACATATATTTAGGACTAAGTCTAAAGCTACGGTTTGTTAGAACAGTACGCGTCGCAAAATTCACAGTCTGCTGAGCGCCGCGCACGTCCGTTGAAATCTAACAATGTTAATCCTATGGGAATGGTTTGTTAGAGTCAGCGCAGTTAAGCAGACAGTGGACAGACATCAGTGTACGTCGACTGTTTACGTCGAAATCAATTTGAGTTTGATTTGGACGCACTCGTTGAGCAGAGCATACAGTAGACTGTCAAATGAAATGAGGTTAGAATAATTTGTGTTAATAAAAATAATAAATATGTCGTCAAAGTTTTCTTCAGAAGAGGATGAAATATTGATTGATATAGTGCGAGAACATCCTGCACTTTATCAAGTAAAAAGTAGAAGTATTAAAGACAATGTGGTTAAAAATAATATTTGGAAAAAAATATCGGAAACACTGGGAAAAAATGGTAAGTACCTATCTATACATAATTTTAAAGATGAAAAGGATAAATGTGTCATGTACAAAAAGGATTTAAAGTTCTTCAAATGGAATATTTACGATAGATGGCTCATGACACCTGCTTCTAGGAATCTCAGTCATATTAAAATTGGAAATTAAAACTATCACAAAAGAAAAGTACAACAGGGTATTTCATTGGGAAAGGAATATACGTTAACGGTGGATGGAGGCCACCAATGTGCTTCCAAATAACCCTTACTTAATTTCACCGTTTATTACCAAAATTTGTCTATTTCTTTTTTGACTCCTAACTTGCTAACCACCTTCTATGTGTTTTTTATACTTGGCACAGGTATTATCCATAACTTGACCAAATCTACAAGTTATCAACAAGAAACGAAATCCAGGTTCGTCTTTACAAAAATAATAAAAAAATTTATTCATCCTTAAAACAACACTGTATTAAATTTGGTTCCATGTGTGCCGAATGTCAAAAACATATGAATTAAGAGGAAATAGGTAAAATTGGTTATAAATAGTAAAAGTATTATTAAGTAGGTATAGGTTTTTTGGAAGCACCTAAATCTGCAGTTACTGTAAGTCCCTTTCCCAGTGAAATACCCTGCATGGGATATTTTAAGTATATCAGGTGATAAAATAATTTTTTAAAAAATGTAAGTAGTATAAATGTGGGGCTACTAGAGCACTACTTCCAAAGTCTCCGCTAGTTGGCGCCACCTGTCAGTGGTGGTCAATTGAAACTCGGCTAAGTGGTTTGCGTCTCGGCTAAGCGATGGTTCAAAGGGTGGTCGCGTTGGCTGGGAGGCCTAGGGGGGTTGGGGGGGTAGGAGGAGGGCTATGCAGACTTGAAAACGAAGAAGAATGAATAATTAATTCGCGAGAGAGAGAGAGAGAGAGAGAGAGAGAGAGAGAATTAATTAATATAAAACTATAGGTATGTATAGTAATTAGTAAGCTGTAAAAAAATAATAGGAATTAATAATAAAAATACAAAATTGTTATAAAACGTATTTTGCAAACTAGAAGCAGGATAAGATAAAAAAAATATTAATCATTTATACGAGACCTTCGCAGACCGATAACATCGCGTCGTCATGGTTTTGGCGAGGCGTGTACAAGGTGATATGAATAATAAACAGGATATGAAAATCGCGGCTTTCATGGTCAACGACATGGTTATCGGTAATATGTATGCAAATTGTTTTTAAACGAGTCTTTACAATTTTCAACAAGTTTGAAGTTTTTATTTTAATTTTTAAGTTATACAAGATGAAATAAAATACTATGTAGCGTAAATAATTTTTAAAAATTGCATGTAAACGGAAAAGAGGGGAGGATAGTTGCTTTAAACCTTAACGAACTTAAATTAATAGAAAACTGACTGCATACCAATACAGCATTAGTATTTCGATGTCTTCAGACGAGTACAGAAGCAAATTGGAGGAATTTTGTCGAAGAATTCGGGAATTAAACCGAGATATCGAATTTTACGAAGATAAAGTTAAGGTTTTAAAACAGTTGGAAGTTTTAAGTTTGTGGGATAAAGTGCTTCCAAATACTAATAATACACCATTGAAAAATATATTTGGAAACGAAGAACAAAAATGGCCATATTAAAGACTAGTTTTATTATATTAACGTCTATTTTCAACAATCTATTGTATACTAACGTACCGCATGAAGTTAATAATGTAGCTGTATGTTTTAATGACATCAAAGAAGATTGTATTCGATCATCATGGAAACTAATGGGTAGAACTAAACTGAATGACGAGCGACTACAAGTATTTTATGCGATGATACCATCAACAAATAATACATATTATAAATTAAAGCTAATATATCCTGATGGGACGGAGGGAGATCAGGCTAATTGGCAAAATACGTTCAGTGATTATTTACAAAAAATATATCCGAACGATACTACCACCAAAAACAGCAGCAGCAGCGGTAGTAACTGTCATTGGATTGAAAGCAACATGTCAGCTAAAATTTACAGATTGTATTTAATATCATGTGTAACAATGTTATTAATTTTAATTATGATAATAAAAATTATTATTAAAACTATAAAGCAAAAATTGTAGCAAATAATATGGAAATAAAGGAATAAAAAAATAAATGAAGTGTTTTAATTAAACAACATTTTTATCTCAATTTTATTAAAATGAATTAAATTACAATACATATTATTATTTTATTTTGGTAAAACAGTAAATGAAAGCCATTGCTGCAGATGATCAACGTTTCTCTCTGTACACATGTATTTTCCATTAACATGATGTGGGCAGTGTGTAATGGTTGATTGAAAAATTCCACTGCTACCGGAGGAATCATCATATCTCGTAACATCATATATGGCTGGATATGCTTGAAGTTCCTCACATTTTGCTTGTAAAAAATCAATTTTTTGACGACCTCGTACATAAATATACTCAGCAGAATGAAGTAGATATTTTTCTAGAATATTATTTATTTAATCGTATTCAATGTCACCTGAATCATAATATTCCATGATGGGTTTTTCCAAATAACTGACAGTCTTTCTGTTGCGATTGTTTCATTGAACGTACGGTATAGGAGGTTTAAATAAAAAGTTTGATCTCTGTCGACCGATATGAATTGATAGCTCCTTCGGATAGAAGGCGCCATCAATAGTGAAGCCTTGAATGTCAACCAGTGCTATTCTCATGACGGTTAAAATAGTACTGAACTCGCTGACGCTCACGAAAGATTTTTAAGAACCTCAGTTAGAGGGGAGTATTCCATTAATACATCATGAATAATAATACAGTATGCTTTGGTATTCTCGGGAAATCCATTATTTGCCTCAATGTCTAATTTTACATCAACGGAACCTGATTTCATGGTTTCTTCTTGTTTGGAGCAATCTATGACAAAGAGAGCGCGATTTTTAAATGCCAAATAGTCCAGGAGAATGCGCTTCTGAGTGTTTTTCGTGTAACTAGGTTGAAATTCTGAATAGTTGAAATGAGCTTCGGTAAAATGATTGTTATCAAAGTCAAGTTGTGTTCGTTCATTGGGATAGTAATCACCGTTTAAGGATAATCTGATGCTTTGGATATAAATATGATCGAAAGTCGTCGGATCAGATTGTATATTGTCACGTTTTTCAGTTTGAAAAAACACAATAACATAACGAGGTCGTTCAACTTTAGTACTGATTTTAACCGACCAAATTTCTCTTCTAGCACTTGGAGTAAGGGCCGGTAGCTCATGCAGCTCCCATTTTCTGAACCATTTCATTATAGGGCGATTTGTTGAGATGAATTTAAGCAGTTTCTCTTTAACCTCATCGCTGGGATAGATGTGCTTGATTCTCAATTCGATACTTTCTATAACCAATTTAACTGATGTTTTTGTTAGAGCACCACTTACTGTTTTCTCCTTTATAATCACACAATCGTTATCATTTCGAGCTCGAACGAATCGAAGAGTTTGTCGACCGCACGTAATCAACGGGTAGTCGTTGAACATGTTAAAAATAGGCATTAACAAACTAAAGGATTTATCACTAGATAGTATAGGTACTGTCGGATAATTCCATCCTGCTATGGACATATGCTTTGATTCTTCAGGTGAACAGCAGGTTAAAGCTCGAACTGTGCTTACTATTCCAGGATCTCGTACTGTTTCAAGTTCTTTTCCGATATCACTGTAGACGCAGGAATCGAATAGGAAGGCTCCGTAATTGGGAGCTAATGTTACGTCTCCCTATCCAGTTATGTCTAATTTTCCTTTTATAAGCATCAGAGTGTCTTGCATGAAGAAAAAAAGTCTACTTGATTTATACTAATTTCTACAATATCATTGCAATTGAATGATTTAACGAATGGGGCGGCAGGTCTGTATTCAATTTTGCAGATAGACTCATCGAACGTTTACCTTCTTGATCTAGAGCCAACACTGTAATATTATGAATTTCTTGTTGCGGTACTACAGATAAATATAAGAGATTAGAAGGTGTTTCGTCTATTATGTAACCAGGGTCGACTTTTATAGCGAATTCGTATATCGTGTGAGTAGGTCTGTCTCCGTCGAAAGCTCCCCACGTAATGTTACAATCAAAGTGTATACTTAACGGGTAAATCCGAAGAATGTGTCTCATTTGGTGATAGTATTTTTTCGGAAAATCCTAGTCTCACCAATGTTATTGGGTTCCTTAAATGAAATTTTATAAAACTTACTGAAAATTTCACACTTAAGAGTATTATTATTAGGTTTCAATGAAAAATCCCTATCGGGATCAACGGAGTTTTCCAGACCCATCTTTTTCCGTATAAAGCTCTCGATATCGGTAATTTCATAGCTACCGGTAGGAAACTCAATTACGTGTAATTTATTTTTGGTATCGTAGTAGTAAAATTTTTCGCCATCTTCTATATTAGGTATGGAATTGTAGGAGTGAAATGATCTAAGCGCTAATTCGTACTCTTTCTTCGGATTCAATACAATAGGTGTTTGAGGTTTAAAAGAGAATATATGATTGGTGCTGTTGACTCTCAACAACTGCGACATCTCGACGACAACTGATACATTTTAAAAGCGGTAAGGATTTAAATAATACACAATACTAATGTTTAACATTTTTTAAATCTATCTAAATAACATAAAAAACATGTTGATATTGATTGAGGTGGCCCATCCCAGTGATCTCCTCCTTCTGTCGATGTATTGTAATGCTTCAGACATGGTAGATGCTGCTCAAGTCCAACTTTACATTCTTCAGGAATCTCATCCCAAATTTGTTTTAATTCCTCAGATGTAATATGTTGCTTGAAAACTTTTTTAGGAATACGCGTCAACACCCGCTTCCATATATCCTTGTTATCCATTACAGAAAAACTGTAGGCACAGATGTCCACAATTAACTTGATTATAATTTTGATATTGATCGTTATTATAGAATATTCTAACAGCTTTTCCGAAATATCGAACAAGTTCTTTCGGCGGCTTCAGATTACCAAATGAATCAAAATATTCAGCGTCGTTGTTTATCTTTTTATAAGCTACCCAGTGCGTTCCGCTATTTTTTGACGCATCTAAATTTAAAATACCACACTCACGCTGTCGAACAACAGCAGGCAGAGTATCTCGCATAAAAACACCTCGAAAATGGGGTATTTTAAGTACGTTTGCGTAATGTAACAGATCTCGATCGTACAAGGGTCTATTGGGTCGCTTGTTTAAAAGTTTTTTTGTCTTTTTAAAAAGAGACCAAATCCTCCTTTGGCGTTTCTTTTCAAGTACAATCCTTTGCCTATAGATTCCATAGCTTTGTTGTGTCGACGATCCTCTTCTAGTTTCTTTTGGGCAGTCTTAGTATCAATAACTGTTTTCGCTACAGCGCTTGCACCACCAGCGAGAGCACCGAGTGATCCTAAAGCAGCGAGAATTGGAAGTAGTGGTAATATACCTCCGGATTTATGATCAAATGGTATTATTCGCGGTAGTCTAACACGTTTTTTACCACCTGCTTTTTTTACTACAAGTTTGGCTGCTTTCAACGCATTAACCGCAGCCTTTTTTAACGTAGGTGCTGGCTTCAACGCCTTTGTAATCTTCTGAACGATTCCTCGTCTGAATGAAACATCTCCTCGTTTCCGTTTTCGTACTCCCATCCCAAAATTTCGTTTAGTCTTCATGGCTGTCGTTACGAACCAAGCAGCGGCTTTTTCACCTGCACTCGAGTCTTTCGATTTAACTCGCTCCTAGGCCCTGTTTTCAAGAATACAATCTGCTTTATGACGTTGATCTAGAGAATTATTTTGCGAATAAGCAATGTCGTGTTGTTTGCATGCGGCATCCAACGGATTAATACCGGGATCGCCGCGTGCAAGTCGCTTTTGTAATTTTGTACCTGGCCCACAGTACTGATATCCACCCGGAATATGTAGTTCAAAGGGCAGTTTATTGATAAGAGAATTAACAACACCTTCTCCACGATGCACCAACATTAATAATGATCGGCGAGTGCAACGGTGTCTCTATTTATTATACGTCGCTACTATTGTTTGATGACACATGATGAAGGTTATTCAACAAGAACAGTCACTTCCAATAGAAAATTTAGATTTTAGCAGTGTGAATACATCAAGAAGTAAACACGGTAAATTATTACCGAATTCATTTCGAGCGATAATATGTGGACCTAGCGGGTGTGGAAAGACAAACGTTATGTTATCGTTGCTATTCAGTCCGAATGGTGCGAATTTCAAAAATGTCTATGTATATTCAAAGTCGTTGTATCAACCAAAGTACCAGCTGTTGCAAGACGTGCTGGGACAAGTTAAAGGTGTCGGATATTTCCCGTTCAAAGATAATGAAGAAATTATAAGCCCTCATAAGGCTAAGGCAAATTCTATATTTATTTTTGATGATGTAGCATGTGATGGTCAACAAAAAATTCGAAAATATTACTCCATGTGTCGACATAAAGATATCGATGCAGCATATCTTTGTCAAACGTATTCCAAGATCCCTAAACAGCTGATACGCGATAATTGCAACCTAATTTTACTATTCAAACAAGATGAAATTAACCTGAAACATGTATTTGATGAACATGTGTCACCAGACATGAGTTTTGATGAATTTAAAGTGTTGGATCGATAAATATGGTACTCTTGTTATCGCAAAAGACTTTCCTCTTAACAATGGGAGATATCGCATGGGATTTGATAAGTACATAAAAATGTAGATGTTACGCTTAATATATCACTTTGTAACATGATGTCAGACGATCGGGTTGCTATAGCTACACGTAAAAGAAAAATTGCCGAACTTGCTCGCGGTATTAGGAAAAAATATTTGTTATTTAAATTGGGTAGATCGGAAGAAGATGAGTCTATAAATAAACTATTTAAACCGCTATCTGATCCGCTTAAGGAGATTGTACAATCCTCTAAGATATTAAATGAGTCCGTCGGTAGGATTAAGAAGGAGGAACCACTATTTACTCCTAAGAAAACACCATCAACACCATCGAGAATTCCTCAAATCATCCGAAAATTAAAAGAAAAAGAAGAAACACCGTTTCTTTCTTTACAAGAAATAGCTAGAGATGATGGTGATGATGATGATGATGATGATGATGATGATAATCAAAGGTCTAGAGAAGGGCAACAAGAAGCAAGTTTTTCGGAACAAGTAATGGATGAATACCTAGAACAATATCCAGTCATGTCCCATCCATATATTAAAGCTCATTGGTCATATAGCCCGATAATAGATGATTTATATGGACCCACCTATGATCCTCCAAGTTCAAAATGGTTTCTAGGAACAAAAGAAATTGATTTCGATAAAAAAAACCGGATACATTAAGCTAGAGGGAAAGCAAGTACGGGGAACGCCTGGACTTTATCAACTAATTTTTCTCGTGATCCTGACGATTACAATGATGAAGATTTAGCTGCATACAAGGGATTATTAAAATTAACCGATAATTATTTAAAGAAAGATGGTAATTTAAAAGGAACAGCAAGAAATAAATGGACGCATATTCTTAAATTTATTGTTGAGCGCAAAATGCCTCCTTCAGGTAGTGGTCTCACATACAACGAAAAACCTATAGAGTACGTATATTGGGATGATCCAAATGAGCTAGTTGATCGTTTAAAACTACTAATAGCGTCTAAGGATGCCGGAAATACATCTCATGATAATGAAATTGTTGCCATTATCAACGAACTAAAAGAGGCTAATATAATACGTTAATAAAATATTTTAAACCATTTGCATCATGAGTGTTGATAAATTCGGACGTCATTCGGGTATAACTAAGCGAAATCTTCTTCCTATTTACCGAGCAGCATTAACTTCTCGTACACCAGAAGGAGATATTGATGCCAAGGGGTACAAAATATGTAACATTAAAGAACCAACAGACGATAGCGATGCTACCAATAAGAAGTATGTTGATACTGCTGTGACGAAGTTAAAAACGACAAGAGATGCACTTATAGATGATAAAATAAGGGTTGTTAAAAAAGATTTTAAAAAATTGAAGGATGACAATAAACAACTAAATGATATTATAGTAAAGGAGCCTCCTACAGCAAGCAAAGATCTAGCTAATAAAAAATACGCAGATCAAGCTATTGCAAATTCAAAAGCATTTCTTCGAGCTGACATACGAAAAGAAAGTGGTGAAATATTACATGAGGTACATCTATATTTTAAGGGCTATATTTATGAACCTTTAGAAAAAAGATTGAATGAATTAGCAAAGAAAATTGAGTCCATCAAAAAACTCCCTACTCCTTAAATATAGTGTAATTTAACATGTTACATTTAGTCATGGCTTCGAAAGAAAAGATAGAAGTAGTTAACGAACTGCATAAAGATGCTCGAAAAAATTATCCTAGACGACGTACGATAATTAAAGGTTTAGATGACCTGTGGCAAATGGACTTGGCTGAAATGCGACCTTATGCACATCAAAATAAAGGATACAAAATGATAATGGTAGTGATATATTGTTTTTCCAAATTTTTGTGGACACGCCCCCTTAAAACGAAAACTGGTGAAGAGATAACTCGGACGTTTTCGGACATTTTAACTTCGACTGCGCGATGGCCGAAAAATTTGCAAACCGATCAAGGTACTGAATTCTACAATAGCAAATTCCAAAGTTTAATGAAAAAACGAAACATTAATCACTATAATACATTTACCGTTAAGAAAGCTGCCATAGCTGAAAGAGTCATAAGAACTTTGAAATCGAAACTTTACAAATATTTTAGTTTAAACGGTACATACAAATGGATTGATGTATTACAGCAGCTGACTAAAGAATATAATAGTACAAGACATCATAAAACAAGATTCAAGCCGGAGGATGTAAATAAGTCTAATGAGAGTAAAATTCTTAAAAAATGTTACAGCCATTTAAAAATCGCAGGACCACGCAAATTTAAAGTTGGCAATATTGTACGCATATCCAAAGCGAAGCATGTATTCGATAAAGGTTACAACCCCAATTGGACAACTGAACTTTTTAAAATTATCAAAATCAAAATAACCAATCCCATTACGTACTTACTTGAAGATATGCAAGGTCAACCAATCAGCGGTGCTTTTTACGAAGAAGAATTACAAAAAACTAAAAATCCTGATATATATCTAGTTGAAAAAGTACTCAAGAAAAAAGGAAAGAAAATGTACGTTAAATGGTTAGGTTTTAATAATCGGCATAACTCTTGGATTGATAAAATTGATGTTGTTTGAACTACTTTTCGATGAGCTGCGCATGAATACACTTTCGAAAAGCAGGATGCATGATCGGAGGGTATAAATATGGATTTTTAGTAGAAAGGTACAGTCTTTAAACATGATCGATCAGCAAGACAACGACAGTGGTTACTACAGTTCTGTAACAAGCGAGTCTCACTACGAGCATGATCTTGATCAAGTTCTCCAAAAGTACGAAACAGCTGCTCAATATGAAAATTATTATCTGTTGCATACGACTTTTCCAGCTGGTGCATTTGAAATTGGATGTGGTCTAACTCGGCACGAACATTTAGTCCAGCCGTAATTTTACATCAACCTTATAAAACTGAAAGTACATCATTTGGACATTACGAATGGATGGATCTCCTGGAAATGCTTAAACTACGTAATGATGATTTTTTCAACGAACCTCTCAACGCTAATATCGTTCTAGATGATTATGAGCCCGTAACGTATTCATGTGGTATGTTCTGCACAGTAACCAAATTGATCTTTGATGATACAAAATTCATTGAAATACGAAAACATGGTATGTGGTTTTGTCTAACCCAAGATGATGTTATGAATATATTAGAAGTGACGGACTTAGTGACCCGTTGGATAGGTATGCTGGAGCAATTGGATTTTATGGACTAATATATTAAAGTGTTAGATATAATAAGACCCTTTTTTATAAGTAATAATGATTTATGGTATGTTAAGTTACAAAATTTACTTGATCTATCTAATAATGTAATGTTAAGTAATGGTCTTAGAGAATATCTATTTTATTATAAAAATAAATTTATGATTGCTTTACAAGGATTTGCAATATAAATTTTTGTTGTACTTGTAACTTTTATTTCTCCTCCTTCTCCTCCTCCTCCTCCATCATTTCCATCATTTCCATCAAAAAATCATCAAAAAGCGATAAAAAGCGTATCACTTTTTGATGCTTTTTCAACGCTTTTTTGTCTATCAAAAAAGCGATGAAAAGCGTTCCATTTTTCAACGCTTTTTTAACACTTTTTATCGTTTTTTATTTTATCAAAAAGCAGCGAAAAGCGTACCGTTTTTTATCGCTTTTTCAATGCTTTTCAATGGTATTTTATCTATTTTTGATCAACCAAAAAGCGATTAAAAGCGTGTCACTTTTCGACATCTTTTTGTCTCTTTTTTATCGCTTTTTTTCTCTACCAAAAAAGCGACGAAAAGCGTATCGTTTTTTCAACGTTTTTTATCGCTTTTTGCATCAACAAAAAGCGATGAAAAGCTAGCCTCTTTTCAGCATCTTTTGATGCTACATATAAATATATCATCCGTCATCATGGAGGTCATTATTAAACAAGATGTCTAGGTGTATGTACGTCTTTACATTGTTGCTCCTTATCATCATAGAATCATTGCTGTTGCTGCCATCATCATCATC